GACCCCCGTCGCTTGCCATGATGCGATACCGCGATCCACAGCTTCCGTTTCACTCTTCCGACGTCATTCCAGAGTCCTGGGCCGTCGGCTGTCTTTCATCCTCGCTGTTTCTTTCGTTCTGCGCCAGAAGAAAAATCACCAGTGTTGATGCGCACGGTACTGCCCTATACCAGAAGCTTCAATAGAGCTGTATCCTGGCATCTCAACCTCCGGAGCTTGGATCATTCGGTTCCAGATTCCCTTTCATGCACACGCCCAGGGTTCCCGCCGTGTTGCAAACAAGTGACTGAGACTGGTGGATTCGAAAGAGCTGCCGGAATCACTCCCCGTCCACAAATTCGGGACGCCTCCATGGCGGTGAACAGAGGCCGTGCAGGCCACCATCCCACGTACGGCTATGATCCCGCTTTGTATATGGAAATCTTCAGAAGCAAAAACTTCGTCTCCAGAGCAATGAGTCTTTGGAAATGAAAACTCTGCGCTCTGGGCGTCAGACGCAGTCAGAAGGTCATCCTATCAGTTGTCACGATGTTCTTGAAGAAAGGGTCCTGCAGCAGAAATGCCTATCGCATTCCTTCAACCACCTCACTTTGTCACTTCTCAACTAACCTCCACACGCAAGCGGAAAGTTTATGGCGCATCGCAGAAACCCGCAGCGCATGCGTTATCGAGGTGGCCCCCAAACGGATCCAAGCGATCAAGATCCTGTGCTGCGACAGGCCGAACCGTTCACTGGCACCTCGGACCCTCCTTCAGTTATACGATCGTCAAGACTCTCCGTCTGCCCGTTGCAGAGTCGGTCGCAAGACCCCGTCAACGAATTTTTGCCTACTGCCCATCAGTAAGCAAAACCCAGGTTTCCCCGACCTTGCGTATTGGTCTGCTTGTCTTGTGTGCGCGATACAGGGAACCGGGATCTCGTCTTAGGGTTCAAGTCCGGATGAGTGACAAAGAGCCAACCCGGGAGTCAAGTTGGAACAAACTCTCAACTTGGTTGACTTTACCCAGCCACTTCCATCATCTTCCTCGTCTCCTCCAGCTCCAAAGCTCATGTTGGTCCTGCGGAAGCTCGAGATGTTGACTCATCGCTCCCTGCCCGAAGGGTTGGGCATGGTTGCTTCTTTCGTCCCACTTTTTTGGTCCAGTCGTGCCTGGCAGACGCCTCCATCCCAGGTTGGCGGTGAAGCGTCCCCTTCCCGCTCCTTTTCGCTTCCTGCATATCCGGATTCGGACCCCTTGCTTGTACCGACGCCGGGGTTGAGAGTTGATTGACATTTGGGACGTTCAAAGACTAAAAACAGAACTGGTGTAATTACTTGGGGGAGGAGTTTCGCTGGCTCTTGGAGGAGCCACTCATCTGTACGTTTGACGGATATTCTGAAACGGAGCTACAGGATGCCTGTTGCATACACGCAAGCTTGCGCCGCACGCCGCACGCCGCGGGTAACTAGGTTTCCGGACTGTTGTTCCCTTTGATTCATTGTGTAATATCTCTGAGCTGCAGAGACACGGGATAATCTCCACTAGTTCAGTCATACGACTGAGACTCTTGGACAGTCACGGGCAACCGATTTGTTCCCTCTTTGCGTCTCTCTGCCTGTCTCTCGGGTCACCGGGTGAGGCGGTCGATGGGGCCTTCTAAAATTAAAGGGATACGGAAGTTCGGTGCTTGGCGGCGGCGGTGACAGCCGTGAATACGTAGGTAGATGCGGATACTATCGCTGAGCTGTTTTACGATGACTCTTTTTTTCGAACTCTGGAGAAGGGAATCGAGCAGGTTTGAGAATGTATACGGAGTATACACAGTATTACTCTCGCCGTCTAGACTGGTGTTGGCCAACTTGCAGTATCAGTACCGCGCGGGATGTGAATATCAAGAAAAATTACCATGATTCCAAATGGCGTCCATTGATGGCTGGGGGAGGGGTCAATAATATCACGGAGGAAGCTAGTAAGCCCAGTATATCCCGGGCTTTGCCTGAACAATGACGAAATTCCCGTCGGGGTCATGGAACACCAACACACTCCTTGAAGTGAACTAGAAGGAGCGGGAGAATGTTCGAAAGCACAGCAGGTGCCAGTATCGGGTCGGCGCGCGCCCGAAAGGAAGAGAAGCTCTGTGCGTTTCTCGTTTGGCTGGACCTCCGGTTGATTGAAGTGCCGTGTTAAGTATTTTTAACCGTTTGGGAGTTTTCTGCGGGGGAAGGGGGGTTAAGGCACATGGCGAGGTTTTGTGTCATTGTGTCAGGATTTCTATTCTATCATGGGATGAGCTTGTTGAGGAATCATTCGGGCTTGTATAACTTCTTGATTCCGTGGTCTGTGGGGGAGAACTATGTCGTCTTTCTCTCTGCTTAAGCTAGAGACACTGAGCTGGATGGTAATACTTGACAGCTAGTGAGGTCTCTGTTTCCCCCCTCTAATGTAGAACTGGATGGCTGTTTATAGAATAAGGAATCTGAATATGAGTCATCGCCTGAATTGTGCCATCGTTGGCTTGTTGCGGTACTACTCCGCTACACAAACATCGAAGCATCCTCTTTGCCAACGTGAGAACAGACTATGTCAAAGCTATCTAGGTTTCCCTCGTTCTCGAGAGTTTTGTGTACTCGGATGCCATCTAATAGAATTCTGTCTGCGTAAGCTTGTCGTCTGTGTGAGGGGGGAGATCAGACGTCCGGAGCACTTTCTCTCTATATATATGTCGTCCGAACTTCAGACTTTTCCATCACATAAACTCTCTAGAGAAACCATGCCAACATCGAACAGATCGTTGGTACGGACGGTCAATCTGGCGGGATCCGGATCCGGAACCGAGATGAGAAAGTGCACTTAGCTTCCTGTTATGTTCTCAGTAAGCTGGACTACGTGCCGAGTTGAGGTTTGGTCCGAGTTTATGTAGATATGGCGGGATAATTTTGGAGAAATAGAAACCAGCACCATCTCTTTCGTTCGTAGTATTACACCATTGAGAGAAGGACGATATGAACCTCACAGGTAAGATGTTTCACGGAATTCACGGTGCGATAGTGTGAATATCATAGCGAAGGCAAGATGTCTATCCTTTTCAGAGCAAAGCTCGAGTATCATCAGGTTCTCCCTTCGTTTTTATTGTAACTTATTCCACAGCTCAGAAAGGAAGCAGTGTCGAAGTCCAAACTCTTCAAATGAGGTATACAGATGGAAGACCGGGTTCAGGTTCATCAAGGATCTGTACGGTTGGTTTACACTTTGGAGACAGCTTTGACATCTGGCATCTACTTTCAACACATTATTTGTAGGATGTGTATCCTTACGGGGAAAAGAGGATTCTCCCCCAAACGCTTCTCCGTCCCGAATTATCCTGATGTTTGAGGAGAAGAGGCTTGCTTAATAGTGAGATTATCCGGGCGGGTGACTGTCGTGAAAGCGGTTCCCTCGTCTCATGTTGACATTAAGGTTCCGTAATGTCCGTCCCTTTCGCACAGGTATTTTGTTTGCCCGAAGGTAACAGACAGTCGTCTGACCGTCTTACGAGATAAAGCTCCACGAAAAGACTTGACTACTATGCAAAAAGTAGGACCTATCAGTAAGTTTCAGTCCTTGTGAAGAAGATATCGGATTAAGGCAGATGGACATGTGAGCTAGTGACTTCTCAGCTTTGACTCTCGAGCATGATAGGAAAAAAAAAGTAAATGACAGATACCCCCGCACTAGGCTTCTTCAACATCGTCATTGAGCTGCTTCTGCTTTCTATGTTCGAAAGTGTCCTACGGTAGGCCGATTAGTAGTTGTACAGGGATCATCCAGTCTTCCGAATAATTTAGACTGAAGAAATCAACTTTGCTACAGGTTCAATATCGAAAGCCTACGCCTCCAAATGAAAGTATACCGCTCAATCGACATCAAAACCCATCTCAGTAACTTTTGCCCCCGGTCTTCTTCTTGAAGGGCCATCCCAGAGATGAGAAGAAGAGGAAGCCGTGGAAGATCCTGTCGGTAGTGCCAAAGTAAGCCGCCTTTTAAAGTCCTAATGTGGGGGGGAGGGGGCTTGAAAGTGGTCTAGATGTACCAATCTTCCGGCTATCTGGGGGTGGAAAGGAAATCTTCTGTTTTGGTAAATATGTAGGAGACGCCTCGTGAAGAGCAGGCATACTCTTGTTATGACATTTCTTATGTATAACCTTTGGGTCTATGCAGAGGCCGACGGACGAGCCAGGAGCCTCTTCGTTGGGCGTGAAGTAGGTTTCAATGATACATGGGACGACTCTCACTGGGGCTGTATACTTACAGTTAGCATTCATTCTTAGATTTTCTTTGGGACATGAGATTTCCATACACCGCAGGTGACATATTCACCACTCCGACGAGGCTATAAGGAGTAGATACTGTGATGTGGAGGGGCGACTTGCAGTCATCCCGGGATCTTTGAATATGTCTAGATGTTTCACGGAAGGTCAAACCTAGGGAACGTTGAATCTGAGATCAGGAAACTAGCCACCCAAGTAGTACAAGTCAAGCTCAATTGAGCAAAGCAGGCAAGAATTGTTCTGTCAAGTCAACTGTGATTTGTTTATGGAATCGTCGTCTACCAATAATTCCTCTCCCCTCCCCATGGCCGTTCCCATGTGAGACGATTTGGTCGCCTCTCTTACGGGGTGTCTCAAGACCTTGCCTGGCCTCATAGCAAATCCGAAAACTCCAACAAACAGCCCGTTTCTTTCTCTTTTCTCCCCGGGACTGCTGCAAATGCAATGCGTGCGTGCGTGTGTGAAAAAAGCGTCTTTATTGTTGTCGTGTCTGGCTCTGTAGGCCCCATTTGCTTCTTTTTCAGTCCTGACGAGCCATGATCCCGGTGGGAAGAGCGTCAGCTACCCCTGCCAAATGAGTCCAAAAGTTCCAAGAGACTCAAGCTTTCCAGAACTCGGGAAAAGCTGCAAGGCACAGTAAAGCTGGCCATCACCTGTTCAGCTTCGATGCCCCCGGCTGCCTTGCCTGGCCTCGTCTTCATAAGAAGTCTATCAAACGCCGGCAAGTTGCATCAGGCGCTCGCCAGCGCGGAGGTTCGCATACTCGTAAGCCTTGGACTCGGGAGGGAAGGTACCATTGGCGGCCCAAAGGTCGATCAGCGGCTGCATGGGCTCGAGCTCATGAGGCTTGAGCATGTCGAGGGCCGTGGCGGTCAGGATGAAGTGGCTGAAGCAGCTGTTGAGGGACTTCTCGAGGTTGAGGTGGTAGAAAGGCTCGGTGAAGTGAGCCCAGTAGAGGTGAGAGTAGACGCGGAACATCTGGCGGAAGATAGTCTGACAGACGTCGATAAAATTCTGCGGGAAACCTGATCGCTTGCCGATCCAGTCAGGCTCACCAGGGTTTGTGAGCTGTGAAAGGGGCGTGGTGGTGATGTTTGCGTTGTGCGCATACGAGACACCCGAAGGGTCGGTCGGGAAGATGTTAGTGTCGTCAATCTTGCCTGAGATCCATCTCTGCATAAGAGTCATGTATTCGGCGGCAGGAAGCTCGACAGGCTCCCGACGGCTGTTAAGCCAAGTGAATGAGTGGTTCCTGAGAAGAATTAGATTGTGACAGGAAGAAGTGTCGGCGAACCTTACGCTCCGGCGGACATCCTGGGGCACGTGGTGCCGTTGCAGATCGTCGAGCCATCTTCCTCCTTCTCGTGGAGAACACGGACGAAGTTCCAGAGGTTTCGGTAGTGCTCAACCACTTCGAAAAATTAGCAACCAGAGATATGGGAGTAAAAGGGCTTACGTACCTTGATGCGCGATCCACTCGCCCTGTTCGACCGTCTTGGGTCTCGCACTCAGAGTCATGAAGTTGCCCTTGACGATATGCTTGCCATAGTTGGAGTTCAGCCAGATGGGCATAGGCCGTGGCAGATGGTAGGAGCCGAGAAGGCCGTCGCCGTCGGACAAGCCACCCTGGTCGTCCATGCCAATAGAGTGGGCGAGCGAAGGAGAGTTGGGCAGAGGCGGGACTTTAGGAGCCAAGTTGGTAGATGACTGGCTTCCCTGAGAAACGGTCGGTGACGTAGGCTGACCGGCGGTTGAGGACGTTGGAGACTTGTTCGAGCCTGGCGGTTTGGCGGCTTGGCCCCGGAAGCGGGCGTTGCTGTTCATCGGAGTCTGATTAGCCGATGGTATCTTACGACCGATATGAGCACCGTAAAACATAGAAATATGTCCAACATGATGATGAAGGCAACCACCAGACCAGGTACCCGAGGGAACCAGGCCATAAGGGTTTGCACCAGCCATGTTGTTTCGAGCTGAGTGAGACACAGCATCAGGGACCTCCGAGGGCTTCTTCTGGTAATGGAAGGGATGTCTGTCTGAGACCTGTGCCAACTAGGCCACAAGGCACAACTGGTGTTCTGAGAGATTGTTTTGGGTGGGAGGTCTGTTTGGCGAGTGTTTGTATTTGATGAGATTGTTTGGAAGGAAAGGAGTTCAGGGTTTTTTCTTTTTTTCTTTTAGAAGTGTCGTGGCTCCTGGCGAGTAGGCTCATATTGCCCCGCTTGAATGACAACAATGATGTCCTGCCGTTGAGGCCCCTTTGCCGAGGGAGATGATCATACAAGATGAACTCCAGGCTGAACATGTGCGTGAGACCCGGTCCAAGAAAGACGACGATCCGGGGATAGTAGAGGAGTGAAGGACCCAGAAGTATCTTGCGGTGATTTCTTTGTCGTAGAGGCGATGAAGAAACGCGAGGCTTTCATCCTGCTCCAGGAAACGATCGATTCTCTTCCTTTTCGAGATCTCTTAAAGACTTCCTCAAACAAGACATATGGACGTTGATAAGCTTGCAGCTCAGCTCAGCTCACTTGGCTGTGGGGTAACTTGCTTCAGCACGACAGCAAAGTCGGTAAAAAAACCATTGTCTTCCAGTTGTCGACAAGATCTCATGCCCTTGAGCTTGTTGGTGTTCATTGCATGCGTGCTGCGTTTGCTGTCCCAATGTTGGCGGTTGCATATGTGGCGGGGTCCTTGTTGCCACCTGTCTCTCTTTTCCTTTCAAAGTTGAAGGTGCAGTCTGCAGCCGAGCTGAAAGATTGGCAAAGGGTGATGCTGAAGCCGAAGGCAACCTAAGCATCCAGTCCCTGCTGAAGCCTCCTATGTTTCTGCTGTGACGGATGATTCCAAGCCTGACATTTGGTCATGGCAGCAATGTCAAACACAGCCGAGGTAGGTAATCCAATAGCCCCTCCTCTTCGAAAGGACAAGTAGCCACCAGAAGTTCCCCAACCGTGCTGCTCGAACCCCCGGGACTGGTTTTGCTCTTTATATCGGATGTTTTGGCAATGCCTTCATGTGTGATAATGCACCCCATGTCTCGGCGGGTGGTGGCCGGGCCGTGTTGCATGTACCAAAGTACGGGCTGCCGCGGCACTAGCCGAGGAACCAAACTTCACAGCTGTCTGCTGTGCAGCCACCGTTGATCGCCCGCTGGGTTTTCGGTCTTTCCATCATGCAGAGAACAGTGGGGGTAAGGGAGGAGCAGAAGAAGCAATTCGCAAACTGGAAAAGCAACAGAATAGACAACGAAAGGCAACTCACATTCCTGAAAAGAGGTTCGACATGGTAGGAGGAGGTACCGCGGTGAGGGGGAATCGGAGGGGGTTATAAAGTTGGGTCGACCGGCGCACCTCCTGGGAAGACTTAAGAGGCTGGGACTATCGAGTTTCAGCTCTGCTGATTCGATTTCAGTCCGTTTGATAATCGAAAATGATCGGATATCGAGCAAGGAGAGAGGGTTAAGCTGAAAAGGGGCGATTGAAGGTGAGCTTCTTCAGACTACGTTCGCTCCTGCATCCACGAGGAGTAGCGGCATAAGAAGCGCTAGACTTGAAGTGTCACATTAAGCGAGTGCACAGGCCCAATCTCCACAGTAATTGGGTCCGAATGGTCTCGCTCCATCGCCATTGGGCTCACGCTAGAGGCGTAGGAAGGGATATTTCGCAGCCTCGTGTGGCGCACAAGAGGTTGGGAGGTGAGCACTGAGCAAGCAGTTGCACAACTTGTGCTTTGTAATTTCATCAATAATAAGGAGAAACAAGACGAGTTGGAGATATTACAAATTTCCTCCACTGAGTCCCCTGAAAAAGATCCACTGTAGCTGGGACATGTGCCAAATTCCCCGCGCGGCAGTTTTGAATCTCCGAAGTAACTCCAACCACATGTGGCGGTGCATCAGCCTCACCCCGACTTGACCTCACCTCCAGGTGGGTCAGAATTTGGACAGGGATCGTTCAAGCCTCACTCTGCATCTTCTTCCGCGCGCAAGAGGAAAGAAGCTAGGACACCTACCTCTCTGCCAACCACACACGCTCAATTGACCGCCAATTTTCCAATATCAGACACGCTGCATCGCGTATCACAAGAGCTAAAGTCGTCATGTCGGATTCCGAAGAATTGAACGAGCTTCCCGAGGATGAGGAGGAGGAGGATCTCTTCGGCGACGAGCCAGCAGACGATCTTCAGGAGGACAGAAGTCGCGCCGGTAGCGTACGCGACGACGCATCCGACCGTGATGAAGGTGATGGCTACGGTAGAGATGACGAGGCCCCGTTGCCGACCGATTATGAGACGAAGGTCATCGAGGCCGTTGAGATGCAACGTCATCGCACTCCCAAGTCGAAAGACCAGAGAGTAAGTCGATTGGAAGTTTGATGCACCTGACGTGCCCTGACAATTACCAGTTACGATCTCTACGCGTCCCCAAGTTCATGAAGATCATTCCAACGATTTACGATCCCGAGACTTTCGAGCCTACCGAACACGATATTGAGAACGCCAAAGCCGACGTACCCAAGGCCGACATCCGCGTGCGACGACAAGGAAACAAGCTGCAGAGCAACACCATGATTCACAGATGGAGTGACGGCTCTGTGACTATGACGGTCGGAGACGAGCATTTTGAAGTCTCTACAAAGGCACTGGCCCCTGGACCCAACGAGCCATACTCTGAGCTTCAGGATGGACACTACTATGCTGCTGCGGCGGAATTGACCAGCAACTTTCTCATGTTCGTTGGACATGTCACCGATCAATACATTGTGCGGCCCGGAAAGGAAGTGGCAGATGATGCGCTCGCCGCACTCGCCGAGCGCATGGCGTCGATATCGCAAAAGCCTCAGGAGAAGGACATGATCATCAACACCATTCAGGACCCCGAGCTGCGCAAGAGACAAGCGGAGCAGGCGGAGAAAGAGCGCATGAAGATGCAAAGACGTCGCGAGACTCAGACCGCACGCATGGATGCTACCCGCGGATACGGCCGCAGTGGAGGCCTTTCCATTGGCGACCTCGAGGGTGGACGACGTGGCGGTGGTTCGCGCAAGAGAGGCATGCCTGGCGCGCCGAAGCAAAAGAGAAGACGTCCCGAGTATGACTCTGACGATGATCTACCTTCTGGCGCCCGCAGAGGAGACGAATATGATATGGAGGACGACTTCATTGTGGCTAGTGACGACGAGGTCAGCGAGGTTGAACATGATGATGACGATGAGGAGCTCCTCGACGAGGCACCACGATCCAAGAAGCGTCGGGTTTCGGATGATGAGGACGCTGATGGAGATGATGATGACAACATGGAGCCAAGTGGTAGAGGAAGGCGCCGTCACGTTGTCGACGATGACGACTCGGAGTGAGGTTATCGACGACGACAAAACATGCTTGACTGCAGATTCAGGCTGGTCGGAGAAAATCAAAGTTTGTACTATACCACGGCATTTTCCCTAGGCAAGCTGTGCGCCGAGAGCGGCGACTACTCTTACTACATCCAAATTCATACTTGCCATGCGGATAATGATCTTTTTCAATGCGTCTCGGTATTCCGAATGAACCTGATGGATACATGATAGTCGCTTCGTGACAATTTTCCACGGAGTCTTGGCCGTAGTGAGACTGGCGCGAACAAGCGGCACGACACGTGCGGCGTTTGACCTAAATCTTTGTCATGGCTCTCAGACCGGACCGTTGGTAGCCAATTTGACTTTGTTGGGAGCTGAGCAAGTGGCACATCCATTACCTTTTGTGGCTCAATGATTTAGCAGACTCTTAAGCCTGCAACTTGCAACCTGCTCTGATATGAAACCTTTTTTCGAGGACGAAGACATCTCTCGGTGCTCACCCGAAATATGAGTACCTCGGACGGATGACGTGAAGGGCCGCGGAGTATGCCCAGCTCCCTTGCACTGCCAAACTGCAAGCCATTATCACATGTCGAAGCTTTCCGCCAGGGATGGGGCATTGGGGCACACACAGCCAAGGAGCTGACGGAGCTTGCCCACCCACCCCCAACTTTACAGCAGCTCGGGAAGCAGCGGCAGCGCAAGTGTGTGGGGTACCTTTGGGGTCTCGTGGTCAACATGAACCATGACATTATCCCACAGTTACACTGGGCAAATGCAGCAACCACTCACTGCGGAGGGGATAATCCTGGGGTGAAGAGGGGAAGAAAGCTGCTGCAGCCTGCCCCAGATCATCCGGCAGCATCCAAAGGGAAAACATTGCAAATGGAAGCTGCCGTGGGAACTCAGCGGCAGATCCGGACCCTGCCTACGACCTTGTCCTCTGTGCAGCAGGCCGCAGACATACTAAAGGTAATGTCCGTAACCCTTTTATTGCCGTGGGCCGAGCCAAACCACGGACACCTGTGACCTACGTACCTACCTTGCGTGCTTGCCTACCTTACCTATCCGCACCGAAACCTCGCAGTTGTCTGTCTGTCGTCGGCACGGTGGTTCGAGTCGAGTCAACAAGTATCTTTCCTTCTCCAATTTGGCATAGAACCGACACACGGGCTTCGAGTCAACTCATCGTCCCTCCTCTCTCTCTCCCGCAGCCGCAAGACCGTTCGAAGACACGATTCTACTTACTCTCGCATCCCTCTCCCTCTCCATCTTAGCGTCCACCATCCGCTCGCCCGCTCGTTCGTTCGACCGCACGCGCGCCTGTTCTTCTTCTACTACGGTCCTTGGATCTCGATCAATCTCGTCAGAACCCGCGGAAGCTCACCTGCAACACCCAGTCTCGACGTCGCAAACCCACTGTCCTTCTCCCTCTCTTTATCTCTGTATATCCATCCTTCTGCTTGATCTACAAACCATCCTCCAAACCTGTCTTGCCCGTCCAGCCTCTCCCTAAGAACTGGAATGCAAGCAACATCCTAATCAGAGACACGACGCTCGCCTCACTCCACCCGCTCATAATGCCATAATTGCCATGAACGCCCAATATTACTCGTCACTATCCTCATCAGTATCGCTATCCCCCGCCAGCTTGGGATCCTCCATGGTCTTCACCACCACAGTCGCTGTCGCGCAACCATGGGAGTAGTCGTTGCACTCTGGCAAGTGGCCGTAGATGTGACGCAATTCTGGCAACGGGTACGTACGGTGTTACAGTTCTCCCCAGGGCAGACGTTGCATTTTCTCTGCCCGTACGACGCAAGCTTGTTCGCAACCAATACCTTAGCTTGATTAGCATATGCTGCGGCTGACCTCGAATGCGCACATCTACAGAAACTCCGCGATTGGTATACACGCAAGACCCCCATCGAACTATGGCTCGAACTCCTTCGCCATGCCGAAGCCTTCGAAGACTGGGAAGAAGCAGCCCTGCATCTAGATAACCTGCTTGGACTGGACTTGTGGTGAGAAAACCCCCCGTCCAAATCGTGTTAGTGTCTCACAAGCACATGCTAAAAGGCTTCGTCAACAGGAGGAATAACCCAACTTCCAAGTATTACGATTACCGCCTAATTAACGAGCGCCTCAACTCCCTCATCACTGCGAGAGAAGATGGGAACCTGAACCAGCTGGTCAACCTCCTTCGTTCCGGCCTGATTCGCAACTTGGGCAACATCACTGCCCCGACGCTCTACAACCGGTCCTTCGCTGGCACCAAGTATCTAATAGAAGAATACATAACGCAGATTGCCGAAGCGGTCGAGGACATCACCCACTTGCCAACGACACCTGGGTCCGATCCTCATGGAGCACCTGTGGGACTGACAAACCAGATGAAGCTGGATTTTATCCACGATACCCGGCAGGCTTTCGGTAGAAGTACGCTCGTCCTGCAAGGCGGTGCCATATTCGGAGTGTGCCATCTTGGTGTCGTGAAGGCACTATTTCTTCGAGGTCTCCTGCCGCGGATCATCACTGGAACCGCAACGGGTGCTCTCATCGCCGCATTGGTAGCCATTCACACCGAAGAGGAGCTTCCCAACGTCCTCAAAGGAGAGGGTATCGACCTGTCTGCTTTTTCTGGGAAATCCAAGTCTGAAAAGGGCCCGCAAAAGGAGCAGTCCTACGCAACGAGATGGAATACTCTTTTGCGGAGGCTAAAGAGATTCACTCGGGAAGGCTATTTCCTCGACGTCAAAGTACTAGAAGACTGCGTGCGAGCCAACGTGGGTGACCTGACTTTTGAGGAAGCGTATAATCGGAGCAAGAGGGTGTTGAATATCACTGTCGCAACCGCCGATCAAGGCGGCGTTCCAACACTGCTCAACTACCTGACAGCACCGAACGTGGTGAGTACTATTTTTGTTCTTCAAAAGAAAGCGGACAGCGTACTAACATCTACAAGCTTATCTGGACTGCCGCAGTAGCTTCGAACGCTTCCACTGCAACATTGTATGGTCACCGGGAAACCACAGTTCTTTGCAAAGACGCTCATGGCAACATTGTACCATGGGCCCCCGCAAACACAATCGACTTCCACCACTGGACGCACGTATCTTATTCGGACCGCGAGTCGCCCCTTTTGAGAATTGCCGAGCTGTTCAACGTAAATCACTTCATCGTCAGCCAGGCTCGGCCTTATCTTATCCCCTTCTTACAGAGCGATATGCATGGCCCATCCCTCATGGAGACGCGTAATAGCACGACGTCAATCACAGCATTCCTGGCTCGTATGGTTGGGCTAGAGCTCAGGCACCGGCTGCGCCAGCTGGACACGTTACGCCTCCTTCCAGCAGGCATCCGGCGCTTCCTCGTCGATGAACAAGTGCCAGGCGCATCCATGACATTAGTCCCAGAAGTGACTGCGGGTGACTTTGTGCGCCTGCTCGAGACGCCGACTAGGGAAACACTGGACTATTGGATATCGAGAGGGGAGCGGAGCGTGTGGCCCGCCGTTGCCGCGCTTCGTATCCGTTGCGCGGTCGAGAACGAGCTAGACAGATCCTATCAGACCGTTCGAAGGTTGAAGGCGGGCGGGCTCAGGAGGAAGGGCTCAACGGCGGCGGCGGCATCGATGGACAATAATAGCAAGGAACGGAGAGCTAGCAGTCTCGGGGCCGCTTATTGACAGCGTCGTTCGCAGGCAGGCTGTGGATCGCGGCTGGTCACAGGAAATGACAAGGGCGCTACAGCTACGATTTGAATAATCCGATATGATCTTGGAGTATGCAACGCCCACGTTGAGACGAGACGCAAGCAAGCTTACCCTCTTCGCAAAGGCGCATTGCAGTTGGGGCGGGCTTATGTACAGATACAAGCATGTTTTGGTTGGCCGAGGTGGGGCGGGCATGCAGGCTTTAACAAACGATGCGGTGTTCTCGAGGCCATGCGTGTATTGCGCGGGACTGTATAAACATCCGGGGAATACGTATCGGTAGTGATCGAGGAGGAAGATGTTCTCGAAGCTTGCCTCTTTGGGTTGTCGGTGAGACGTTGGAGGTGGGCTCCGCAAGGTGTAGGAGATGCAGGAGGTTCAGCTCAGCCAGGATGAGGGGAGGAGCGATAGGTGTTCATAGCTTGTATGACGAAGAGACGCGTCCAGTGACGAGTCTGATGACCCAAATTCACGAGAGCCTTTTTTTGATTATTGTACCCATACGCTAAACGATGCCAAATCTGGAGACCGACGGCTGTGCACCTGATGAACCTACATGAAAAAGCAACAAGCATGAGCAAGAGCGGGACCGTGAACGCCTCGCCGCGGGCCCTCGCCATGCAGGTGTTTGCATGTTCGTTTATCCCTCATCAGAGTCGCAGTTGTCCCCCTTCGACGCTTGTGAGCCTTGCCAATGGTCCGGATGGCTAGGCGGAGGTTCCCCGTGCAAGTCGTCATGCATGCCACGGCCACATCCCATAGGGCCAGCGAGCAGATTACAGGTACGAGAGCGTGAGTGATTGGAATAAGGGGCTGGCGGGCTGGCAAGATGACCAGTGAAGGAGGAAGGAAGTGATAGCCTGCTGCATGTCTTGGGCGGTCTGCGGCCGGCAAGGGTCCAGCGCAGGAGAGATCGGCACGCTAGAAGCCTTCTCGAAGGTCGTGAATGGGGCCGCTAGGATTGGTGGCAGGGCTGGCGGCGATGGACTGTGGTAACAGACTTGGGGATCCTAACGTTCCTGGCGCTCTTTTTCCCTGAATGATTCGGCACAACGGCTCTCGAGACAGCCAGCCAGGGTATGTCAATATTTCGCGCAGAGGTCACAGGAACGCGGATAGTGCGTGGACCTCCTCCTTCTCAAGCAGGGCGTTGGCTCTTCGCAGGGGGCTGGTTGGCGGTTGACGATTGACGATTGACGATTGACGTTGCTCAATCCTCATGCCGCCGTGGTTATCGTTGCATGCCAAGGAGTTCGGGGAAGTATCCGGGGCTGCTCAACAACATATCGAATTCAAGGGGCCG